ATTTTTTTAAATAATTAAACGATGACTTTTCCCCCGCTCGTTTACAATGAAAAAAAAAAAAAAAAAGGAAAGGAAAATTGGTTGCTATAAATTAAGAATTTCTCCAAGTATTCAAATTATGCCAAACTCCCAAGTTTTAAGCATTCTTGGCGGAAAGTGAAAAAAAAATGCGCCAAGATAAATTTTTTAATTTCTCCATGAATTTCGCACCAAATTTTACAAAATATAATATTTAGGCATAATTTGGGTCGTAGAATCGAAATATGAAAAAAGAATGGCACGTCATTTCAGAAAAAGTTCAATTTTGTATCAAAATACCTCTATCAGAACAATCCTACATATAAATGTAATACTATCCTAAGTCGAGCTTTCGAGACATGAAAAACGCAATTTAAATTTCATCAATCAGCCGAGCAGAACGGGAAATACAGAACTGCCCAATTTTTTTTTCGCAGTGAACATGATTTAGTCTTTTCAGGATTTTGGACTACTGATGTAAAACTGTAAAATATATTTATTTCTTTTAAGGAGCTTTATTTATATATTCAAACTACCCTATATTTCTGCAGAGTTCGTGTTCTGAATATATGTATAAAAAAGAGACGTCTAGATGATCATCCAGTCTTTTATGCTTTCAATATAGCGCATTTTCTACCTACATTATACGAACTCTAGCAATGATGACTGAAAGGTGGTTTAAGGAATGATCATCTAATTGTTGAATTTCTGAAAGCTCTGCCATCTCGAAGTCATGAGCTCTGAGAGGCGATATAAGAAAGGAAAATTAAGGTTGATCAACTAAATGAAATCATAAAATTGCTCACTTTTTTTTTCTTTTAAATTTATTTGCAAAAGGCCTTTCCTCAAGAAACAAGTAATGTAAAATTTTTTCTTAAATTCCTATTTAGGTTAGCAAAGAAAAAAAAAGAATTAAAATACAAAAAAAATTAATTTAAAATTAAAAAAAAATTAATATGTGAAAGAACTGTATTAACTACAAGTGTAAAAAAATGTATTTGAACTTGAGTGGATAAATAAAAATTATTTTATTAACGATTAAAAATTAATTAATTAATAACTAATTAAATAAAAAAATTAAATTCAATTTCTACTTAGGTCATCAAAGAAAAAATTTTTAAATACAAAAAATTAAAATACAAAAAAAAAAAAATAATTAAAAATTTTTAAAAATTTTAATATATGAAAAAACTGTAATAACATCAAGTGTCATCCACTACAAGTTTAAAAAAATTTATTTGAACTTGAGTGGTTCAATAAAAAGCATTTTATTAAGGATTGAAAATTCGAACAAGATAATACAGGGAGAATGTGAGCTAATAGTAGGAATTTAAAAAAAGGTTCACTTATTTTTTTTTCATATGTATACAAAATAAAATTTGCTTACTCTGAAAATAATAACACTTGCTTATCGTAAAAAAGGATATTCAAATCATTCTTTAAGCTAAAATCAACTGTTTAAAATGTGCTGCAAAAGAATTCACATAAATATTCAGCTACCTAAAACACGTACTTAGTATTTAACAAAAATACACAAAGAACAAAATATTTAATATTCAGCTGCATATACTTTTAACACAAAGTATATTTTTCACGAGATTCGGTAAGAATTCAGTGATCTTAATCCGGAAAGGAATGCTTGATTTTGTTTCGTCCTTACGTCGAAATTATTATCAATTTGTTCTTTGTAGAAATGTAATGTTTTCGTATTCTTGTCCCCAATTTATTCTATACATGTTCGAAGGCTTTAGATTAGGAACATATGGAACTATTTTGATAACTTCAGGATAGTTATTCAATAATTATAAGAGCGTTTAAAATCGTTTTCTTCTCAGAATTTAAGTACTTTATTTTGAAATCCGCAATTCGAAAATGTTATGGAATGCATGGATTAATGTATTTAAGTGCAGAATAGGCAACATTATTAATCGGAAAGGGAGAAACCGTCAGTCATTTCTTCCACCTGGCCCACCAGCGGCCAAGCGGTAAAGTCGCTGAATACTGGTAGTTCGGTCCGAGATTCGAATCCCGCGAACGGGCTGGCTGCATGAGCGTTTTCGTGGTTTCCCCATGTGTAACGTGTATACGAGTCAGTTTCCCTTAGAAAGTCCTCCACGAAGGCATCCCTTCCCTTAGGCAGATAGCCCTAGTGAGTTTTGCCATGATTAAATACACCATTTCTTCCACCTGGTCTCCAAACGCGAAAAAGGTAAGTACTTTTTCTAATATTTCTAAAGTTAAATTGTTGGTTATAAGAGAAAAATCTGCGGACGCAAAAATCAATCGCAAAGGCTTTATAGTATACATTTGTAACAACAATAAATAAATAAAAAAAATCTAAAAGATTTCAGATTTTTAAATTGCGTCCAAAGGGGCGTTATTTTAACATTTTGTCTGTTAACTTTAACTATTAAATATCACGTTCTTGGCATTTATACCGTAAAATTCAGTTCAAAAGCAATACCTCAAAATAGTTTTAAATTGAACATATCTTTAGAATCTCCGATACAGAGTTTCTCGCTCTGGAGATAAAAATGTTTTTTCCTGTACAACGTTGCCATTGCTCTCTTTGAAATCCTTGAGTTTGTTAATAAAAAGTTCGTTAAATGTTTACAAAATAAGAAATCGATAATAAAACAAATTCTAAATTTCAAATTTAGGCTTCCACATACCCATATTCGTAGTCGGATTACATCATTCAAAATTCGATGGCTCTATGTACCGTTGTTTTATCACAATGCGAGAAATATGCATACATTTATGCAGATTTCTCATTATTTAATTTCTTCAAATATTATGCAGGTCTCTAACATTTGGTGGCAACAGTTTGAAAAGTGAAACGGACATTTAGTCTATTAAGTCTATAAAGCATCGGATTCGAAGATAAAATAATGTGGTTTAATGCAAAGAAAATTTCAGTAAAGGGTTTATGATTATCGCATTATTTTTTTATAGTTTGAAGTTATACATAAGAAGAGTGGAAAAAGATTTAAATCAACTCAACGCACTAGCAAGAGAAAATTTAAAGTCAGATACTTTTTTTAACTGAATATTTAAGTTCTTTGCGTACCACATAATATTACACAACGCCTACAGAGGTAAGTAAAAAAAAATACAACAACACAACACAAAATAAAATAAGCTTACAAATTCACAGATGACATGTAAGAGATAAATGTACAGAAGAAAGAGTATGCCATTTTATCTTGAACAAATACATGAAGATGAGCAGGAAATGTACGATAGTAAGTCCCAATACTTTCAGAAGAAATTCAATTTGTTTATTTCAATCACTTTCAAAGAATGAAGCTTCACCAAGATAAAGCAACAATTCATACTCCAGAAAGCACCACTGCATTTCTTGACAAATGAAGACTGATACAGGCATTGCATATATACGTTTTCAACGTATTTATACGAAGTCCTTTGATATATGCACTATTATAATCCTTTGGTATAGTGACTATTAGTATATTTACTACTAATTCATATATGGACTATTATACCTTTGTTCTCTTGAAATATGCTCTTTCTAAGCGGAAACCCACCACGATAAATAGACTTTGGAAAGTAGTGGAACAGGAATAAATTCAATAAACCTGGAAAATTTGCGAAAAGCCTTTCTGTCATGGAAATTAAGATGCAGACTTATTATCGGGGGGGGGTTATTATCAAATCGCACATTAAAAAATATTCCTCAAACATTCATTGAAAGGCCCTAATTAGACGAAAAAACATTGAGCAAGTGTGCATAAAAACTGTCATTCAGGTAACTGCTAAAACAGGATGAAAGTTGTTACTGAAATGTATTTAGTATGCAACTAATTTTTTAGTAATACTGCAACAGATTAAAAACTCTTTTTGACTTTACTCTGAAATTGCTCTGCACAAATCTATGTCGCAAACTTGGAGGAGTCTAGATTTGAGAAAGAAAGAAAAAAAAAAAAAAAAAAAAAAAAAAAAAAAAAAACATCGTATGCAAATGAAATGATATCTTCCTGCTTTGCTAAAGTTGTGAATTTTGTACTTTATATGGAAGGAGTAAACTTACATTACGTTTACAAAGTGCAAAGTGTTGCCATATATTTTCCATACTCGTTATATTATTTAAATTTGGGATGTAAATTGATGAAGATATCTGGATAAAATCACTCGTAAAAATTGTTATTGCTTGGAGTAGCAAAAAGGATAAAAATGTTGGTTAATTTTTTTTACTCTTCTGGCATATACTTTTTTTTCACAAAGTTTACACGAACTGTTAACATGCAAAGTGCTAACTGAGTATTTGAAAACATTAGAAAATATCAAAATGTCTACTGGATGGCAACGATTTCTACAACAATTAAAAATCGAATCCTAAGTTTTAAAACTTTTATTTTAGAAAACAAGTACGGTGCTAATTTTAAATATTTAAAGATGTGAATTTTAAGATTCCGATAATACAATCCATTGAATTTTATAAGCTTTATTCTCATGATCCAATTTTACGATTTTTTGTCTGAGAACAGTTTTGGTGTTAGCTTTAAGATATTATGAAATGAAAGAGCTTTAAGGTATGAGTTAAAAACTTTAGTTATTATTTATTTGCACTTAAATTGTTATTTTCAACGTTAGCATTGATATCAGCATCTAGGTTAATATGACTCAGAAAGGAGAAGGGAAAAAATTGAGTGGCGTGGACGCTTTCGGCTAATCAATGTTTACATTTACGAGAGCAATCAAAAATAATTTGAGGGAGATCATTAAGCAATTAAAAGATCATTAAGCAAAAAAGATTAAAAAAATCATTAAGCAATTAAAAAAAGTTTAGTTCTTAACGTCACAGACTCGTTATTCGATTCATTAGAGAACCGGATGCTTACTAATATTTATATAATGAAGACAATAGCGTAAAATAGTTCATGAATATAACTAATTATATACATGAAAATAAAGTATAAATCAATCAGAATAGAATGAAATGAAAAACAAAAGTCACTCACTATAATGGAGGGTGATGATGAAAATGATGAAAACTTCGAAAGAGGCTGCTCAGTATACCAACAGGGACAGGAATAAAAAGTGGTAGGATGATGACTTTTTTTTGGGCTTGTTGGGCCAACAGCAAGTAAGTTAGTAAATTTTTGTGGTGGTGGTGGAATCCAGCAGATATAGCCAGGAGAGCAGTAAGAACAAGGAAACAGCCCCGCATTTCTGGTAGCACTTTCCCCTTTCTGAGAGAGAATAAACATTTAAATAGGTAGGATAATTATATAATACAATATATAATTTACAAAATAAAAAAAATATTCTCAAAGCTTCCAGATTTTCTATTACGCCCAAAGAGGCTTTTTTATAATGTCTTGTGTGTTACCTTTATTTATTACGTATCATGTTTTACGTACTCAAACTATAAAATTCAGTTTAACAGCGATATTGCAAAATAACTTTAAAATGAGCATATCTTTAGAATTTCCGATACACAGTCTTGCGCGCTAGAGATACGAAAAGTATTTTTCTGTACAACGTTGCCATTGCTCGCTTTGAAATCCTTGAGTTTGTTAATAAAACGTTCGTTGAAGTTTTAAAAAAATATTTTACAAATACAACAATTTTCCTTATCTTGCAAGAAATTCCTATTTGAATGATTACAACGATAAAAGCTGTTTTTACAGAAAAAAATATTAATATTTAGCTATAAATTTTTACATAACAAAATAACGTGTTATTCATAATAATAATAAAATGAAAATGACATCCAAATAGAAGTACTGGAATACCTTGGTTTTTGGAATTCGTAATCTCTCTTGCTACTGGGTACTAAAGCTTCTCGTCTGCTGTGCCATCCAGGACGAGAACAAAAGCTTGCATAATATTTAAATTTAAAAAAAAATCAAAGAGAAGATGAATCTGTTTATTCCACTTTTCTGATGTGCGTTTCCTTGCTTCAGTGAAACAATATTAATATGCAATCCTAAGCCTCGAAGATGTCCTGTCAACCCGATTTAGGTTTGTTCTTTTTTGTACCTGTAGGTTATCCAATTTAGGATTTAAAAAGCAAAACTTTTTGATATTTTTCCTTTCCGTTCTACTGACGTTTGCCCATTTGGCCAAAACTGTGCCTTTATGTAAAGGATGAAGGAAAAGTCTACTTTATGTCCATTGTTATTAATAACGCTAGCATAAAAGGTGGAATTAACGAACAAAATAGCCGGTTTTGTCATAAAATAAGAAGAAAGGAATTTCTAATGTAGCATATTTTTCCCTTCACTGATATTAAATATGTGTTTGACGGCCTAGTTTCCATTTAAATACATTTGTTTTCCAATAATATCGAAGGTATATTGTAAAAAACAAAACAATAAACATGGTCGATGCTTGTTTAAACAACTAATATTTTCTTATGCCCAACCATTTGCTTTTAGATTAAAATATTATAATAATCCTCTCAAATATTCTATAATTCTTCCAACTAAACGTTTTGTCACCTCATCTGAGAACTATGAATATCTTTCACTCTTTCGTAAATTAGGCAGATAGCCCTAGTCTGCTTTGCCATAATTAAATACATCACAACACCACTCTTTCGTAAAACACTGTTAATAGTAATCCAACGAAATTTATTTCACGTTTTTAAAAAATATGATGTGTACACCACATGACTTCCTTGTACGGATCATTAAATTATGTGCATTTTTTCTTGCATTTCATTTACACCTTTTGGATTGAATTAAATCTACTTCGCCGACAGCGGATAAACCACAATAGAATACATGCATTTTTTAAAATTCACTCTATTTGTTTAGCATAGCGACACTCTGGCGCTAGGTTCACTTAACAGTATTATATTTCGTTCATATCATAAATCAGACTGCACAAAATTTATATCATTTAAAGAATTATTTGATCGTTGTCACATTTTCTATTCAAATACTATGATAAAGCTAGAACGATGTATAAAAGAAATTAAGCAAACAAAACAAAAAAGAAACAGTTTTTAACAGACGATTGAATACTTCTCATTCAATTAATTCAGTTCTCACTTCGCGACAAGGCAAAAATACACAAAAAGTCAAAATATCTGTATTAAAAATTACGAAGTAAATCTTAAACAGTTATTTTCTCAAAAAAATTCCAGAAAGGATTAAGCATGATTTAATTCGAAATAATAAATGAAGGCGTTATCTTTGTTGTTGCGAAGTTAAGTTTCTCTAGATTGGCAACAAATCCACTGTCCTGCTGTTTCAAATGTAAACAAGCAATGGCCGCCATCAAAAACATTATTAGACTTAGCGGTACTTAAACAACTTTAAAATTGTTGCTAATTCTAAACATATTGCATACAGATTTACGAAAGGCATAAAAACCTTAACCGGAAGATACGAACAACATAATTCAATCATTTCTAAAGCAAAAGATGTACAATTTACAAACATATAAAAGTAAAGAAACTGAGATCACAGCCGGGTAACAGAGTGGATATATATATATTTATATACGCTTGGTGCGGCCGATTGCAACCAAAATACGAAATGCATATCTACATGTTATAGCAGTCCTATATACAAAATTTCAATGTTCTGAGGCTACTCGTTTTTGAGTTATGCGAGATACATACATACGTACGTTCGTACAGACGAACCACGAAAAATGTCTCTTCAGGAATTTATTTTAAAGCAGTTTTATAATTTTTTTGGAGGAAAAGAGAGTCTTTTATTCTGTCCTTACGTAGATGTCATGCAAAATCATAGTTAAATTGTATTCGATAGCGGTCAAAATGGATATTTTCGTTGAAATATGCTGCCTGAAACTTTTCGCGATTACAATACTTCCTTTTTACTTCGTACAAGGAAGTAAAAACACTAATAGTAACTTAAGTATGTAAGATATTTTCTCCCTTCTTCCAGCATGTCTCACAATGCAATGGTAGCACACCCGCCGCGTTATCAAGAGGTCCGGTGTTCAAGTCCCGGAGAGGGCATTGCATGTTTTTTCACATCTTCTTCTTCAAGGAAAAGTTCCTAATGACTGTACAGTAGTGCCCGTACTAAAAAGTGGTGGACAATAATTTGTCATTACCTGGATTTGGCGATTGGGTCCATTAACCCCCAGTCACTTTTTAAAAGACGGGAGTATATGAGGTACTTTATCTTTCCTTTCAGCATGCCTTTATGGTATAACGTAGCATAGTCGGTGCGTTTTCGAGAGATCCAGGGTTCGAGTCCCAGAAAGGTCACTGCATATTTTTCATGTTTCCTGCTTTTTTCTTTTGGAACCTCTACCTTTTAAACTGAATGTTTTAAATGTGTATAAACAGTATTGCAATCCGTAAAATTTTTATTGCAATAAGGCCCATCAGCGGCCGAGCGGTAAAGTCACTGATCACTGGTTGTTCGGTCAGAGGTTCGAATCTCACGAACGGTTTGACTGCATGAACATTTCCGTGGTTCTTCCGATGTGGAACGTGTATACAAGTGAGATTCCTTTAAAAAGTCCTGCATGACGGCATCTCTTCCTTTAGGCAGATAGCTCTCGAGGGCTTTTCCATAATCAATAAAGCAAGTTTATTGCAATAAAACTCAAATGATGTTAGAGAGCACGTAGTTTTCTTTCAGATGTATAAAAATTAAAAATACATTTTAAAACATACTTAGATATTTAGAATAAAATGCACATTAATTCGAAATCAAAGAAACTACACCAGAATCTGGGATCGCGAAATTAATTCGTTCCTGAAAACCGTTCTTTAACCGAAATGCTCGTAAACCAAAACAATTTCTCCAATAGGAATTAATGTAAAATAGATTAATTCGTTCCTTGCCTACAGATCATTGATTGAACATTAAAACTGTATATCCAAAACCTTTAGATAGGTAAACACAATATTAAACGGAAACTTGAAACTGGAAAAAGAAACCTGGAAACCTGGAAAACAAAGCCACTGCTATATCCGGAAGTTGTCGTCACTTATGGAGGCACATAATATGTACTACTGTTGCCTGCTATTAAGGGACAGACAATTTAGATCCATGTCTTCTCCCGGACTCGAACCCGGTCTATTCGGTATGTTAGTCAGAGTCACTAACCATTTTTCCGTTTGGGTGGCTAAACAGGTAACATAGACGAAAACGTACATTAATTTTTATCGTACTTAAACAAACAAATAAAAGTATACGAAGAAGACTGAATAAGTTGAGAATCACGAGGAAAATGTTATTGTTTAGATGCGAAATTGCCTTCCATTTAAAAGCATTAGATAGCTCTGTTTAGGAGGCATTTCCTTGTCTTTCTTTGCCTCTAACCGTCACTAAATTCAGCTCGAGACTCACAGGGTCTCTATTTTACTCGCAATTGGTTCAATGTGATTTGTTTTTACTTATGTTTTAAAGTCTTTCTAAAGTGAGATACAACATTATCATTGATAATGTTTGCGCTGTTGCTTATGGTTACAGCCGAAAACATCGCGGCGAAAACATCGCGGAGAAAACGTCGCGGAGAAAACAACGCAGGGTGAAAACATCATGGTATAAAACATCGTGGGAGGAAAAAAAGCAGAGAGAATACAACGCAGCTCGAAAACATCGTGGGAGAAAAAAAAAGCAAAGAGAAAATATCGCAGTTCTAAAACATCGTGGGAGAAAGTGTGTATGTGTGTATTTAATTACGGCAAAGCACACTAGGGCTATCTGCCTATGGGGAGGGATGCCTTCGTGGAGGACTTCTAAGGGAAACTGGATCGTATACACGTTACACATGGGGAAAACCACGAAAACGCCCATGCAGCCAGCCCATTCGAGGGATTCGAACCTCGGACCGAACTACCAGTGTTTAGCGACTTTACCGCTCGGCCGCTGTCGTGGGAGAAAGAAAAGCCAAGAGAAAACATCGCAGTTCTAAAACATCGGGGTACAAAACATAGTCGTCGAAAATAAAGCGGTTCAAAAACTGCGTAGTTTAAAAACATCGCCGTCGAAAATATCGTGATAAAAAATAAAATACCTAAAAATCATCGCATGACGATAGCATCGCAGATATGCTTTTTTCAAGCTTTAATAACTGTAAATGGATACTCGCATAATGATTTGTGAATACAAGAAGGATAAATTTTACTTTCATATTTTTATTAACTAATAAATTTTTAAAACAGAGAACACAAAATTTAAACAAAACAAGAAATAATTTTCATTATAAGGGTATCAGATTAACAAATGCGAGAAAAATAATCTCCTAATTAACTTAGCAAGTTTTTTATAGATAAGGTCATGCAGTTACTTATCTTTCTTTTTCTATTCTTTTTTTTCAGATTATACTTTTCATGAAAACTTACCAGTAAAACCTTATAAAAATAATTAATTAATGACCTTCGTTAGTTAACTATGTCCGTTTAATATTCTATTAAGAGCTATAAGTTGCATTGATTTTCTATGCTTAAATTTCCATTCTTACCTTTTTGAGTAAAAAATTTATTAGTTAATAAAAAATATAAAAATTAAAAATTATCCTTCTTTCCATCTTGCGCTCACAAAGTAATATGGAAATTCCATAATATGGAAATATCCATTTACAATTATTAAAGCCTGAAAAAAGCATGTCTGCCATGTTATCGTCATGCGATGATTTGTAGATACTTTATTTTTTACTACGATATTTTCGACGACGATGTTTTTAAACTGCGAAGTTTTTGAACCGCTTTATTTTGGACGACAATATTTTTTAACACGATGTTTTAGAACTGCGATGTTTCTCATTGCTTTATTTTCTCCCGCGATGTTTTGTACCACGGCGTTTTCGCCTTGCGTTGTTTTCTCCGCGACGTTTTTGCTGCGATGTTTCCGGTGGACACCGTTGCTTATTACTGTTTTATAAGGGTGATATGATCACGTAAAACTTTCGCAAAATGTCTGAGAATCAGAAAATTAAAGTAATTTTTTTCTTCCACTTCTTCTGAAAA